ACATATTGGATTTATCTGTATGAGATTTATCCGGATTATGATATTGGATATCAGAACATATTTTATTTTGGCCCAAGGCCCAACAACAATTTATTTTTAATCAAAACAATTTATTTAATTGAATATTTAATTCAATAAATATTAGGGTATGTTTTGGGGTGTTACAAGTAGAGTATAAAAGTGATTGAAAAAGCGGTGGGGTTCTAGTGGCACCGTTTTCCGGTGTCACTAGCGGTGCCACTGCATTTTTAGGGCACCTCCGGTGTCACTAGAACCGGGCCGTTGAAAAACTAAGGGGCTGTTTGGCAACTTCTGAATAGGTAAGTGCTGAACGAGTAAGAGGTTTGAACCATTAAGTGCTGAACCAGTAAGAGGTCTGAACCATTAAGAGCTAGTATATTGCTTAACTATTTAGAGGCAAATGTCTGATCAATTCAGATAAGAGGTCTTAACCATTCAGACTCTGTATAATATTTAACCATTCATAGGCAAATCTCTTAACCATTCAGACATCTGAACCATTAAGAGGCTGAAACAAATAGTCTGAACCATTAAGTGCTGAACCATTAAGAGGCTGAAACAAACCGCCCTGAGTTATCAAAATGATTAAAAGTAAGGCTCGCCCATAAAAACATATTCTCGCAGTCGCAACTCGCACCCGCCCTTGCCCACCCCATGCCCCCACCCCTTAAACGAGAGTGGATGTAGAAACCATAATTTTAAAAACCGGACCGAACCGGCCGGTTCGGACCATGAACCGGCGAACCGGTGGTCCAACCGGTCCGGTCCAGCCCGTTGGACCGCAATGTGCTTCGAACTAGGGGTGGACGTGAAATCCGTTCCCGTTGGACCATTCCGAAAAATCCTGGATCCGTTTTGTAATTGTACCGATATATTGGGACACATTTTTTTGTCCTGAACCCGTTCCGTCCCAAGATCAAATGGGACATGAGCGGGACAGCTTAAATTTATACCGATCTGTCCCGTTTGTCCCGTTTCATCTACTCTACTAATATATAATACTAATTCTAGTCCAAAATCCAAATACACTCATTCTTTAATTAATTAGTTATTTAATTAAATTAATTTCATGAGCTTGAAATTTATTTGGACCCGTTCCACTCATTGTTTTTTGTTGGATGGCTAGATGTTTCTTTTTTTTGAATGAAATTTCACCCTCTTCCCCTTCTTATATTTGCAATTAGGACAAAGTAGGACGACCCGAATCCGTCCCATTTTATTCCGATCCCAAATTTTATGGGACAAACTGGGATAAGATTGTAATCCGAACCGTTCCGGACCGTTTATATATAACGGGACAAGACATGGGACAACCTAAAATCCGGACCGTCCCGATCCGTGCCCACCCCTACTTCGAACCGGTCCGAACCGGCCGGTCGGACCGGTCCGACCAATTTTTTTTTTTTTGTGATTTTTTTCCAAAACTTTACTCCATGAGGGTTTGAACCCGAGACCTTAAAGGCATTTGCTTGAGTTCTTAACCATCCAAGCAAAGTAACTTGTTGTTTCAAGTTTGCATAATTTTTATAATATTTCATAATTCATAAAAAGATTGTATACAAAATCCTTTTCAATTTTAAAATATCAAATCATTGATATTATTTTTTATAAAATTTTAATATTATTTTTTAATATGTAAAGTTTATTTTTTTAATTTAGTAAAATAACTCAAATATATTAATATAATTCTAGTCAAATATTATAAATTGCTTTGTTTAGGTATTTATAAATGAAAATGTGTGTGTGTGTGTCTATATGCATGTGTGTGTGTGTATACATACATACATACATACATACATACATACATACATACATACATACATATATATATATATATATAATAAAATTTTATTGCATAATGGATAAAAGAAGCAATTACAGCAATGTGGGAGAAGGGTTCTGCCCACCGAAAAAGAACAACAAAATGTATTACATAAACAAGGTAGAAGGCTTGCGTAGGTTGGCACGAAGACCCAAAGATTTGAGATTGTCATCAAGGATCATCCATTTTTTGTCTTTGTGAGTCTAAATCCACTCTTGTATAGTCTTCATGGTTGAGGTGATGATGGAGCGTTCGTTGAAGGCCTTCCGTTCGTAGATTTCAGCATTATAAGCTTTCCATAGTCCCCATGCAATCATCCTTGGGAGTATAGAGTGGATTTTGTCCATAAGTTTTATTCTGCACGTACCAAGCCACCAGTTCATGCATACGTCGTGGATGGTGTCCCCCCTTTGAATGACAGGCCCGTCAAATAGGGTGGAAAAAAACCTCCAAATCTTTTGTGAGAGCCTGCACTGGTAAAGAGTGTGGTTCAAGTTTTGGGGACCATTGTGGCAGAAGTTACATCTAGAGGGAATGGCAATGTTGAATCTGGCTAGGTTGTCTGGGAAAGGCAGGAGATTGTGAAGAGCTTTCCATAGGAACAGTCTGATTTTAGGGATTTGAAGTTTTGACCAGGCCATTTTGCACAAGAGAGAGGAGGGCTTAGCTTCCCTCCAAGAGTTATAAGCAAGCTTGAAGGAGAATGGATTCCCCTCCCACATTTCTGTCCCAGAGATGGTATGAACATGCTCAAGAGCCCAGTTGTGTATACGGGCTGCTCTTTTCCAGGTGACAGTGTCCGTGTGGTATTCATGAAATGAATCTGGCC